TTTCGCTGCAGAGATGCCCTCACGGCCTACACAAAATTTGTAGCAACTACGCTTGCACCATTCGTGGAGGTGCTGCCACGACACATACAAACGGAAGTATGGCAAAATATTTCGGCGGCTGCGACGAAGTCGGAAAGTGGTGGGATCCGCAAACTACAGTGTAACTGGSCTGTAGTGTAGTAGTGGGATCAGGCCTGTAGTTACTACAACTACAATTTTTGTGTAGACCATGAGGGCATCTCCGCAGCGAAAAAGAGGGAGCAATTTTTTTTTAATTTTTTTTTTTTCTTTCGTCCGTTTGCAGCAGCAGGAATGTCGGTGGACCACACTGTTGTGTGGCATTTCGGTTGGCGAAAACGTCCGCCCTCTTGGTGGGATCCAATTTTTCTTCCAATTTTTCTTTTTCGTCCCGCCACGGCTGCTTACATCTTTGTAGTGCTTTTTGGCGACTACAGTCGTAGTGTAGTGGTGGGATCAGACCCTTAGTTGTGCATCCTATGCACCCTGCCCACCTGGAGGGAGATCCCACTACCGATGTATGTGGATTATTGTTTAAGGTGTGTGACTGTCAGGCATCGTGGATTTGGCAGGAAATCAGCAGTAGCCGGTTTTTGCGAATTAAGCCTGGGAAAAGGATGTTTTTTTTTTGCTCTCCCATTGGTAGGTTTTCCTCTCGTTTTTGTTGTTGGGGTCCTGTGCCTGTCCCAAACGTACGTGAAATCACAACCAATTTTTTTAATTCGTGAAATCACACACGTTTCACTCACGGCGAAAGCAAAGGCGAATGGCTTCATGGTTGGAAATTGATTGTGGTTTGGGAGGTGTTTGGGAGGGTTCGATCCCCTCACCTACAGCAAATGGTGTATGGAGTTACTCTTGCCCTCCTTCGCCAAAGAGAATTTGCGGCCTATTTCAAGGAAACCTCAGACTATTGTCAATGAATATGGTCTGTGTGCCCACTCACATGTTGTCGTCTTGACTGCCACAGCCATGGTCAGTGAATCATACCCTGACATATGACACCCCGCCTGGAGTAGACACCATCTGTGAGAGGAGGACTTTCTTTTCCTTTTTCGCAGTTTTTTCTTCATTTGTTTGGTCATGAAATGTTTTTTTGCGTTTATTTTCCCTATTTCACGCTGCCACCCACCTGTCCCCCACACGTCCCATACTCGTCACACTAATCCACATACATGGCTAGTGGGATCTCCTTCCTGATGTAGTACTCAGATACGCGCCTTGACCAATCTTTTTTTTTATATATACATCATTATACCAAGTTCAGCAACAGATTGAGGTCGGGAACCCCTCAAACAAAACAACCCGGAATGAAAGAACAGATACTGTTTGGAAAAAAAAAGAAAAAGAAAAAAAAGAAAGAACAGTACTGGGGGCACAGCCCAGCTCAGAAAGGAAGGGTGTCGGGAGTTATATGTCTGGAAACAGAAATGGCCAACACACGGACCGCTGTCCCGACTTATCCACGACCCTAAAAGAAAGGGCGAAAGCAAAGAACCAATGCCTACAAGGCCAACAAAGCCCAACAAACCCAACTTATTACCCCTAAAGTGTATCCTCATGGACTAAAAGAAACTGTAACCGCGCATAGCGCGGGGGCACAGCCAGGGCACAGGGGTTGTAGCGGGGACGAAGTTTTGAGTGTTGTAATGTGTTGTCTTATAGCAGGCGACATGCACTGGGCCCTCTTTATCACACTTTACACATTGTGGAGGCCCGACTTTATATTGCATTTTCAAGAGTTTTTTGTGGTTTGAAGAGCATGTCAAAGAATTTGAAAGAAAAAGGTAAAAAAAAGATTTTGAACCGCTGCGGTGCACCCCGCTAGGACTTCCCCCCAGAACCCTCGACAGTTCATTGGTGTACCCACTGAGGTAGGCTTTTGGGTTACAGACCCAAAAATTAAAAAAAAAAATTGATGAAACTCAATCGTCAACAAATGGAAAAAAAAAAAAAAAAAAGCGAACCGCCATGCAAAAAAGAGTGGAGCGCCCTTTCAACTCCAGGGGCCAAGTCCCACTTACCCATATTCTGACCGCAGATTGCAGAGATCTACGGTCACAAGTGAAAGATTTCGGCAACTAAGACTTGGCTCCAGAAAACCTCCAAACAACAAAAAAAGAACCAAATGAACTAAAAAAAAAAAGAAAAAAAGAAAAAATTCAACCTAAGGAACGTCAACCCAGCGTCGAATCGTTGAAAATGATAGAAAGAAAGAAAAAAAAATTGAGATAAATAATAATAATGTATTGCCACCAGTACCTCCGAGCCTGTTTTTGCCAACCTTGATTGTTTTTATTTTATTTTTTCCGAAATTGCACTTTTATTAACAGGGCCCAGTGCCCAAGGCAAGTACATAATCAAGAGAGTATAAGAACATGTACGACAGGTTTATCCTGCCCCACCAGGGGCCGGGAGCCCCATCCCTACGTACAAAGTGTCCGCACTCTTTACCCTAACGCGGCACCAGCCCTGCCACAAACGCAGATCACCACACTCCTTACCATAACACAGCAGCAACCCGACCACAAAAGACCATCTCTACGCCAACAACGAAAATTCCCCACACATACCAAGCATCGAACTATAAACTGCAGCAACAAAGTGAAGTAGGGTTGCCCACCTATAAAAATAAGACCATTTTGTTCGATAAAGGTATATCTAAGCAGCTCAAATGACGAAAATTCCTATTGAGAACTAAAATTCCTATTGAGATCTAACCCAAACACAATACACGTCAAATTGAGGCGTTCGTAATTCAAACCCGATATCGCATCGCACGTACCAAGCATCGAACTAAACAGCAACAACATAATAAAGCAGGGTTGCCCACCTATAAAAAATAGAAGCCATTTTGTTCGAGCAAGACATATCTACCCAAGCACCAACGTTAACCCAGGAACAGGCATATCAATGCCCGAAGAACACACAAAAAGAAACCCACCAAGCATGAGTTAAGACAACAAATAACAATACCGCATCGCACGCACCAAGCATCGTACTAAACTGCAGCAACAGAACAAAGTAGGGTTGCCCACCTATGAAGAACAAAAGGCATTTTGCCCGAGCAAGGTATATCTACGCAAGCACCAACGTTAACCCAGGAACAGGCATGTCAATGCCCGAAGAACGCGCAAAAAGAATCCTACCAAGCAACAAATAGCAAAACTAGAGCACACAAAAAGAAATCCTACCAAGCGCTAAGACAATAAATATCAAAACCAAGAAAGAAAATCCTTCGAAATAAACAGACTCAAACACAAAAAGAAGATCCCACGAAAACACGAAAAGAGGAGTCCTACAAAACAGGCAACTCGTACCCCACAAAACATAACCTAAAATAGAAAATAATCTAAACGTTGTTGGAGCAAAC